CTGTGTGAATTGAGCCAATGTTCACAATCTACTTTCCATGTGTTCGGGGAGGGGTAGCTCAGTGGTTTGAGTATTGGCCTGCTAAACCCAGGGTTGTGAGTTCAATCTGAGGGGGCCATTTAGGGAACTGGGGTAAAAAAAAATCTGTCTGGGGATTGGTCCTGCTTTGAGCAGGGGGTTGGACTAGATGATCTCCTGAGGTCCCTTCCAACCCTGATATTCTATCATTCTATGATAAACCACCATGGCAGTGACCACTAATTGGCCGCCTTGTTGTCTTGTCACAGCAGAGGCCAAGGATCAAAGGGGACTGCAGACTACATTGTTGTCTGCCCTCTGTAGGTGGGTCCTTCCGTGGGCGGGGACAGGTTGGGAACAGATTGAGCTACACATTGATAGTGAAAATGAAACAAAATATTGAATAGCTGCTTGTTAAGTGAGACTCCTCCATCCTGTGAACTGAATGGGGCAGGTGCAGTGGGGAAATAGTATGCGCTTATGTAATTTAAAAATTGTCATAATGGATACACGCAAAGGGGCCAAATTAAGGGTGCACAGGCAGCCTTAATTCTGATATTTTCTAACTTTTGAGCTCTTGACTTTGCAACCTTTATGGCCTTTTTTGTGTATAATTTCCTAGGGGGTTTAAAAATCAAACTGAAAAAACAGACATTTCATTGTGTATCATCATTGACACCCACATGGTTCCTCAGCAGGTTTGGAACATTTAGATCCACCGCATGGATCTCTGCCACTGAGCTAATGGAGTACCTGATAGCAGTAGTAGGTTGTCATATGCTATGTGAACCAGCAATAGAGGTGAATGAGACACAACTTTGCCAGTAGGTTTCTGACAGCAAAGGAGGAGTGAGACTCTGGAATCTTAGGCTCCATTCCAGGCTCTGTAGGGGAATGTGTGCTAGTGAGCACAGATTCTTCTGCCTGCTTTCCCCCAAGCAAGTCCTCTTCTGCCCCATCACTTCCAATCTATCCCAGTACTGTCTCTTCCCCAGTCCTGTCTTCCTTGCTTTCCAGTCCCAGGCTCCTTGTCCAACCAGTCCTAGTCTCCCCCTCTGGGCTTACTATTTAAATCACAATCTCCCACTTCCCACACTCACTCGCAGTCTCCTTGCACAGCCAGTCCCAGTCTCCTCCTATCCCACCAGCTCCTCATCCAATCTCAGCGTTTCTTCCCCACAGCCAACAGGCTTCTAGTCTCCATCCCCCCATGTTTCTCTCATCAGCTCTCAGTCCTAGTCCTGCCCACCTCAGCTCCCAGTACTAGTCTCCTTACCTTACCAGTACCAACCTCCCTTCCTCACCCCAATGGCCTTGCCCAACCATTCCTAGTTTCTCTGCACACCACTCGAGTTCCAGTCTCACCAGATGGCTTGACCTAATCTACTCCTTTCCCTCTTCCCTGTTCAGCTTTTGTTCCCTAAAGTTTGGTAAAGTTATGAGCGATGGAAAACAGGGTCTTATAATGGGATGTGGCAGGCAGCTTTAATAATAGGCTTGTGCTACCCACCCCACCTGTAGTAATGGGGATTGAATTATAAATTTCATAAACAATAAAAAAGCATTTGTAGATTGTCTAGTGCTGTGTCCAGCTCTTCCTCCACACTTGGGCTGTAATGGGAGGCTCTGCTGAAGGGGAATCTCTTCATCTGGCCTAAAGAGCCCAGTGTCCTCTGAATTCTGAGAGAAGTTAAGCTCAGCAAGATAAAATTCTGATTCCCAACTTTTAGGACTCCTTGGATGCTGATCGGTAGGTGAGTAGAATCATAGAATATCAGGGTTGGAAGGGACCTCAGGAGGTCATCTAGTCCAACCCCCTGTTCAAGGCAGGACCAATTCCCAACTAAATCATCCCAGCCAGGGCTTTGTCAAGCCTGACTTTAAAAACCTCTAAGGAAGGAGATTCCACCACCTCTCTAGGTAACCCATTCCAGTGCTTCACCACCCTCCTAG